GGATCTCATTATATCTATTTATAGTGTGGTACACAAACATACGGCTGATACCCAAAGGTTTCAAAGTTTTGAAAATCTCTGACCTACATTTTCCAACTTTGTGTAAGGGAATCACAGCTATTCGGTTTTCTTTATCACCCCACTACATGTTAACTGAGTGAAAGAAAAATAGAAACTAATTGGGATTATTATCCTGACATGTAAAGAAAATAACCTGATAGAGGTATGGATTATCTAAATAATACCCAAGGATGTAAAGGAAGCTGAACTTTTGTAACAGTATTTATGGCAGAACTAGGTATAAAGTATATAAGAATGGATAATAATTGAATAAGAAAAATAAAGAAAAATTAACTGTTAACAAAGAAATGAATACTTGGGAAAAAAGGCCCGTATAAGAAGAAGCAATCATGCACACCCACAGGAGTGAGATTTTTTATCTCTTTCGTAACATACACAGTAATTTTATTTTTAAATTAAATATTACTTTGCTGCTCTTATAATATGGTTCTTAAAAGAAAATCAGAAGTCACAAATGAGAATTTTTTCACATAATTGATGATATTTTAAGTGAAGATGCAACAAAAGTTAATTAAAAATAACAAGATTCAAGGTTATTGCGGTCCATGGAAGGAAGAGGAAAATCAGGTCTCAAAATAAATATAAATAAAAAAAAAACACATGATTAATAATGATAAACAAAATGGGCTAATTTAAGGATTGCATAGGATAAGGTACAGCACCACAGTTGAACCTAATATATTGTTCCCATCATTAAACTATTCTTAATGTTGCATAATAAGAAATGTTTATAAAAAAGTATTTTTGTGGGCGCACATATACCCAACTATATTAACCCACTACTGCCAAAACCCTACGTGCCAGAAATAGCGGATAGGTGAAATAAAAAAAAAAAGAAGTTAATTTAAGGATATCAATGCTAGAGATAATATATTTCAATGCTTGTTATTTAGCAATCTTTATATTACTTGATTTGAATCTACTCTCAAAAAACCTGAAAGTTTGAATTTATAGGACTATCATCCTTAATATTGAAGTTTACGAATCCAAACATGATTGCTTATGTTCAGTAAGAATACAAACTATTGTGAGTAATATATAGCCCAAATAAACATTACTTGACTGGAGAATTCAGGAGACTACTATGCAACACTGAATTCAGGGGTTTTCAGCCAGTAATTATAATTTAAGTATGATGGTTGAAGTATTAAAGCTGTTGGGTTTGAAAATGAGCATTCCATAAAACACAATGATTCCTGGCACTGGACTGATCAATAAAAATCTAAGAGGTACACCAATACATGAGGGAGGGGAGGATTGTGTTATTGCCCTAGCAATTTTATTTTTAAGGGATTTAGGGGGATGTATGAAAGCAACAATTTTTGTTGGTATCAACATTAAACCTTTGGATTCATTGAGATTTGTATTTTTATTATGTCAGTTAAACAAATAAAGCCTAAGCTATAAATAAATAAAAAAGAATTTTCCATTTGGTTATACAAAAAATACTGTTGATTACATACAGATTAATTGAATTTTCTAAACTAGGGGTCTCCATACTGTGCTATGTGAACTACTGCTGATGTGAATGAAACCTATAGGTGATACATGAACATACACAAAAAAAAAATCATGTATAGATATGTATATCTTTTTAACATATTCAAAGAGGGTAAACAAAATTTTTATTAATGATGAATAAACCCAATCCAAAACTAATAAAAATAATCTACGATGGTTACAGTTGTAGAAATGAAATTAGTGTATTAAAAAGGGATGGGATGGCCAAGCATGTTGAGGCGTGGGTCCCAGAGTGCCAGGTTCTGAATATTATGGGTTTGATTCCCAGCTGAGTTGGTTAATTTTTATTTCTCAGTGGCTACGAGAAATGAATTTTGACATTCCCACTCTGGTAAGTACTCTGGGGCAACCTCAAGGTAGCCGTCAGGTATGGGCAAAAGGACCATGTGGCCCACTTGCCGGGCTGGTTCTCCCTATCAGTACCAGTGTGTTAAAGAGGACTTAATGTTAAAAAATCTGATGTATGCAACACACAACTTTCACTTATCACTCAACTTAGAATAGAAATTATTTTCTGGCCATGTTGGGCTATTATAAAATTTTTGAATTGTATTTTTAACCGAGCTAAAGCTAAAAGCTTACAGCTAAAAAATCATAACTTACTTATTCCATGGCGCAACAGCCCTACAAGGGCCTGGGCCTCCTCTACAATCTTCCTCCACTCTTCCCTATCCCGGGGCGAGTCTTCTCCATCCTCTGATTCCCATCTCTCTCAACACTCTTCATTCCATCTGACCATCTTAATCTTGGACGTCCTCTATCTCTTTCTCCTCCAGGCTTACCATCCAGTAATTTTTTGGGTATCCTATTCACCGGGATCCGCTCTACATGTTCCAGCCATCTCAACTGATTCTTTCTAACAAAAGAAACCAGATCTGGTTCTTGGACCATTTCTTTCAGCTCCTTATTCTTTCTTATTTTCCAGTTGCCGTTCTCGCAGACAGGTCCATATATTCTTCTGAGTACCTTTCTTTCCCAAACTTTCAACATTCTTTCACTTTCTTTGGAAAGTACACAAGTCTCAAAGCCATAGGATACAACTGGCCTAATGACTGTTTCATATAATATGACCTTAGCAATGTTGGTCAAGCCTCTAAATTTTAATGGTTTTTGAAGAGCGTAATAGCACCTGTTTCCAGCAGCTACTCTAGCCTTAATTTCTTCTTGGTGTTCATTCCTTGATGTGACAAGAGCACCCAAATACCAATCATAACAAATCATAAATATCATTAAAATAACAAAAATCCTATTTATTATATCACCAGTTGATTATGGATTGTACAATCCATTGATTATGGATTGCACGACTATTAGTTATTAAACCTTTATTTTCCATTGCAACATTTACTAAAATGGAATTAAGAGATCTACATTGTCTGTCATAGACAGGTCAAAAGATGTCTCACTAATTGTAAGTGGATACTGTTGGAATATCACAAAGGAAAAATTCATCAAATTATTCACTAATTTAATTTTCTAAAAGGTTACATGATGATTTTGGAATAAACTGACGATAGATACCTAACTATTTAAATATAATATCAGATCTAGAGTTATTAAACTACAGTAAATATATTTAAGGTTATAAACATATCCACGAAATATTTTTATATTTTACTTCTTCTTTCACACAAGTACAATGAAATAGTATCTTAAACAATGTCAATGCCTTGAATCCGTGGATTTTAAATACTTTTTCAAACTTAAAATAAATTTTTAAAGTTTACATTTAGTAAGAAAATTTCATTTAATTTCCTTGAAAACACGTGATTTACATTAAATAATGTTAGTTTTAGAAATTATTATTAAATTTTTTTAGCCATTCTCCGTTACCTTCTAAAACTTTCTATATTAAATATTTGATTTTGACAAAACTTATATCCTTACCTCCATCTCTAAATATGACAAATGACTCATCTCTGAAACCCTCCACATCCAGCTATAACCTAAGACACTGAATCTAAAAACAGACAAACAAAACTTATCCTTAGCCTATTCCCAAATTCTGACTTCATTAAAACATCCATAGCAATCTCCTTTTTCCTTCTCACTGACAACTTCCTTTTTTTTTTTATTATACTATATTTATCCTTATTTTAAACTCGCTAAGTACATTATACTTCCTGTTTATTTTTAACTCTTTTTCTGTCATCACACTTTCCACATAAATCATTAATACTCCATTGCCTTATAAATAGAGTTACTCATTTCCGTTCAACCTTCAGTTTTCTTTTTGATTAATCTCATTAAAGAAATTTATTTTTGTTTTCTTTAATCTCACGTTTCACATATATCAGGTACTCTATTATAAATAAATAAAATATTATCTATAATAAATCTCTCATCCATCATATACGTTACTGTGCTTTAGTTCACATTTTTCGGTTAACTGTTGCAGAGGGTGCCATCTGCCAACCTCCCTCCCTCCCACTACAATACGTCTGTCTGTCTATGCTTGTTGGTAGAGCAGGTTCATTTATTTTTCTTATCTTATTTTTCTCCTTTTCTTCCTCCTTCCAGTCACTCTATTTTCCATATATCCATCTCTATTTTCTTTATATTGATACATTTGCTCAGACATCTTTTTTTACATTATTTTAACTTTTTATTCTCTTATACGTAGTCAGTATTTTGATAAATTTTAAAATATCTTAATTTTCTATTTATCTCTATTATTTTCTTATATAACTTCATATTTCTTTTCTCTGTTTTACACTTTATTCTAAGATCACCATTTTCATTTCTTATGTTACCTTATTTTTTATAATGCTTGGTCCGTATTGTTATCTGGTTCTTTTCTCAGCCCTGATGAAGGCCTCAACTTTGGTGATTGTAAAAATAAATACAATTATTTATTTTTACTATTTTATTTTGACGGATCACCCCAACCATCCTTCTCTTCAATATATTGATTATTATTTTGTTTTTTTAATTCTCCGCTTTCAAACGATATATTATACGTATACCTTCTGACTATTATTTCTGGATGTTCATTTTTGACCTGGATAAGTATTTTTCTACTTTATTCAATTGTCCAATTCTTTAAAAAGTTATATTTAGCATTTTTTCATAACTCCTAACAATGAATAATAATTATTATTTATAATAAACCAAATTAAAGGTACTTTAGAGGAAGATATAATAATGTTGAGATTTCACAATGGGAAAATTCATCAAATTATTCACTAATTTAACTTCCAAAAAAGTAACATGACAATTTTTCGGAATAAACGGTTGTTAATACCTAATTATTTAAATATATCAGATCTAGAATAATTAAATTATAATAAATGTATTTAAGGTTATAAACATATGCTTTATACATCCATGAAATGATTTTATATTTCACTTCTTCTTTCACACAAGTACAATGAAATATTTTTTTTAACAATATCATTGCCTTCATTAGGTGGATTTTAAATCCTTTTTTTTAATTTAAAAATATTTTAAAAGTCTACATTTAGTTAGTAAATTTCATTTAATTTCCTTGGAAACATGTGATTTAAGTTAAATAATATTAGTTTTCAAATATTATTATTTATCATTTTTTCACCACTCTCTGTTACCTTCTACGACTTTCTATATTAGATATTGATTTTATAAAATTCTCTGCTTTCCAACGATATATTATACATATACCTTCGGACTAGTATTTCCGGAGATTAACTTTCGACCTTCATAAGAATTTTTATTTTTTCTCCTTTAATCAATAATCAAATTCTTTCAAAAGCTATATTTAGCATTTTTTCATAACTCTTAATAATGAGAGATAGTTAATTATTTAAAATAAACCATATTAAAGGTACTTTAGAGGAAGAAGTATATGAACATTGGGCATTTAAGCTCTGTAAAGTGACATCAATTGGGATAAGACCTAAATGATATTAAAGAACACTTAATTATACAACAATACACCGAGTTTAATCAAAATAGTTGCAGCCGTTTTGAGAAAATTGTAAAAACGTGTTTCACCGTTGATATAAAATGGCACTTCCGGTTAGCTGATTTTAAGGAAAAGGTTGCTGTCACATATAAGGCACATACCTTACCTATCTTAAATACATAATATCAGTTTCGTACGACTTTTCGTTTTTGAGTTAGACTGTTAACATACACACACACACACCATTTTGCGGGACTTGGTTATTTAGACTCAGAGTACCTCAAAACTTGTATTTCGGTTGAAAACTCTGATTCGAAAATTTTCACAATCGCAATACTTTCCCTTACTATATATTATGTATATAGGTAAGTGAAAGTAAAAGGGAATGTTCGTTTTGATGGAGCTCAACTTAATTTTAAGTTGTATGAAATTGTCATCAAGCTTTTGATTTTGCTATTTTGAACTTTAGTTATATTTCATTATATTTTTAAGCAAATTTACTGTGATACAGACTTTTTTGTTTCTTAAAAAAATATTGGTAAATAAGTTTGTGTTTTTTAAAAAGGCAAACATATAATACTAATATCATAAGATAAGGTGGTATCTGTTTTAGAAAGTAGTACACAGTGACAAAGTCTAGGAACCCCTCCACTACATTATGAACTGTTTGTATAAGCTGAATTATTATTATATACGAGTATCAAAACTAGTCTTCAAATAATAATATTAAAAACATGAATACCACTATTAATTGTTGCTACTTTTTGATAATTTAGTCTTGATTAAGTCATCTCAACATGTATTCATTTTATCGTAAGTTTAAAAAAAAAAATAATAAATAATAAAATTAAAAAAATATATATTTCTAAAGACAAACAAAATGACATAAATCAATTATTATAGAGCCTAATTTGATGGCCTAAATCTTTTTTAAATACTGTATATAATTTCATTAAGATCCAAGAAAATGTTAATGGAATGTAAAAAACAATAGTAACGGAAATGTAAAAAATATTAACAAAGACATTTATTATCTAGGTTTGATATCAATTCTATAAGGCCTTCATTTTACATTGAAGATCTTCTAAAGTTTCTTCACCAACAGAAACTTCTTCATCCTCATTGCATGGTAATGAATCAACAGTAAATTCTCTGTTTATTCCAGTGGGTAAAGACAGGTCTTGCTCATGACTCTTTTCAGGTTCTGATTCAGAGACCAATGTTATACCTGTAGAAAACAAAATTGATGAGAATAAAAGAAAAAATATAATAATAAATTATATATATATTTATTTATTTGCATATATTTAATTTTATTTGAGGTATTAATAATTGTCTATAGTGTTACAAAATAATAGTACATTTAAATAAAATAAAATAAGTTTAAAGCTTAATTGAAAAATAAATTTAACTCATATATAATACCCCAAGTATTGTCATCATGAACGACACTATCTTCTGACGGAGCAGGTTCACAGTTATCTGGTGGCTGCTGCTTTTCATTTAACTTGTATTCGTCCTGGCGTATTTTACAGTAGTTATCTTGACAGAATGGATTTGGTTTCAAAGTCATAGTAGGAAAAAAGTCCGTCAAAGCCATATATCCGAGGTAGTCAGAAACTTTTCCGAATTGCAGTAGTTTCCTGAATAATATATTTCAGTTATACATAAATATACAAGTCTTGATAAATATAAAATTAAAATGTATATTTGAATCACAGTTATAGGGCATATAGAATAGAATAGAAAATAATTTTATTCTGGGACGAAGTCCCTTCAGAATAACAAAAAAGTACAGAAATTAAAATTTTACATCTGGCCAGATAAAAACAAACATAAAAAGTAAAGATAAAGATAAATCAGTAAAAACAAAAAAAAAAAAAATATTAGTTATACATAATATATACAAAATAAAATAAAATAATCTATATACAAAACTCTCGAAACCATACTAAGATACTTAAAACTATGTACAATGGTAAAATATAAATAAACCCTTTTAGAAAAAATACAAAAAAAAAAAAAAAATGTAAATTCTTCTTAACAGTAAAATCTGTTTTTCTGTTGAAAAAAAAAAATATAAATAAAAAATATGTAATTTTACATAAAAGGTTAGCTGGTATCTGACTGTTTTTGGAACAAGAATTGGAATAGGAGGGTTTTGAATGTAGATAGGGATAAAGAATGTCAGATTTTGATAGGAAGGGAATTCCAAAAATTAACAGAGCAAGCAATAAAGGAGTTTTGGAATGAGGCAGATCTGTGAGAAGGAATGTAAAGGTCGGAAGGTCGAGATCTTGTGGAGAGGGAGTGGATTGAGGACTTGAATTGGAGAAGATTGTAGGCATAGGAAGAACGATGATTGTTAATGATATGATAGAGGAATGTACCTAGGAAATATTGTCTTCGAATGGAGGGGAAGAGCCACTCTAACTCAGTGTAGTGGTGAGAGACATGGTAGTATCTCGGGGCACCAATTACAAATCTCACGCAACTGTTCATTAATCTTTTCAGTCTGTCGCGGAGCTCCACCGAGAGTCCATCATACACCACACAGCTGTAGTCAAAGTGGGGGAAGATGAGAGAGGAAACGAGGAGTCTACGCGTATGTTGAGGTAGGAGATGGCAGAAGTGATGGAATAGTTTGAGGGTAGAAATTGTCCGTCGGGAGATGTGAGAAATATGGTGATTCCAGGAGAGGGTTTGATCAATAAATAGTCCTAAATTTTTTACAGAGGAGTAGAAGGAGATTGGCTGGTCACCAAGGTTTAGTATGGGAAAGTCGGTATAGGATCTAAGGAGGGGCTTGGAACCAATGACAATGGCCTGAGTTTGTGAAGCATTTAACCTTAATCCGTTTAAGTTTGCCCAGGCACAGATTCGACCTAGGTCTGCTTGGATCTTAGTAAATGCCAACAATAGCTCAGGGGGAGAAAAGGATAGGTATATTTGAGAATCGTCTGCATAAAGGTGGTGGGAACAATGGATAATTGAGTCATGGAGGTCATTAATATAGGAACTAAAAAGGAGAGGAGATATGCTAGACCCTTGGGCAACTCCAGAGGATAAAGGCAGGTAGGCAGATAGTGGTTGATTAGGAATGGAGACTGCTTGGGTGCGTTGTGAGAGAAAAGATTGGAACCAAGAGATGGAGTTATTGGAGAAGGAAAGTGATTGTAGTTTGTTGAAAAGGATGGGATGGTTAATGGAGTCGAAGGCTTTCAACCTTTTCCAAGTCAAATTCAACGTTTTCCAAATCAAATTAAACTTTTTCCAAATCAAATTTAACCTTTTCCATTTCAAATTAAACCTTTTCCATTTCAAATTCAACCTTTTTTTTATTTATTTAATTATCTTTAATTTTTCAATGTGTGGGTCTGTTATCGTATGAGTAGTTTTTGAAAATAACCTCCTTTTTAAGATTACGTGACTGCGTTTCGAATTATTTAAGTTTTTTTGACTTATTCGATATAAGGGTGTATTTTTAGTTTCCCGATCAGTAAATTTTGAAAATTATATCCATTTTAAGTTTTTAGAATTTATCCAACATAAAGGTCTACTTTTATGTTCCCGGAGCTGTAGATTTTGAAAATGACCTCCATTTGAAGATTACGCCACTGCATTTCCACTTATTTAAGTTTTTTTGATTTATTCGATGTAAGGGTGTATTTTTACGTTTCAGGAGCTGTAGATTTTGAAAATGACCTCCATTTTATGACTACGCCACTGCGTTTCGACTTATTTAAGTTTTTTTGACTTATTCGATATAAGGGTGTATTTTTATGTTTCCCGATCAGTAAATTTTGAAAATAACATCCATTTTATGTTTACGCCACTGTGTTTTGATTTATTTAAGTTTTTAGAATTTATCCAACATAAAGGTCTACTTTTATGTTTCCGGAGCCGTAGATTTTGAAAATGACCTCCATTTTAAGATTAGGCCACCGCGTTTCGACTTATTTGAGTTTTTCGGATATTTTTCATATGAGGGTGTATTTTGATGTTTCCGGAGCTGTAGATTTTGAAAATGACCTCCATTTTAAGATTACGCCACTGCATTTCCACTTATTTAAGTTTTTTTGATTTATTCGATGTAAGGGTGTATTTTTACGTTTCAGGAGCTGTAGATTTTGAAAATGACCTCCATTTTATGACTACGCCACTGCGTTTCGACTTATTTAAGTTTTTTTTGATTTATTCGATGTAAGGGAGTATTTTTATGTTTCAGGAGCTGTAGATTTTGAAAATGACCTCCATTTTATGACTACGCCACTGCGTTTCGACTTATTTAAGTTTTTTTGATTTATTCGATGTAAGGGTGTATTTTTATATTTCAGGAGCTGTAGCGCGGAATGTACTGTACGGGAGTCTTTCTCGACGTTGAACAGGCGTTTGATAGCACCCGGGACTGCTGTACAAACTCCGAAAATTCCTACCACCTACATACTTCCTCATTATCCGTTCCTACCTTACTGATAGATACTTTAAAGTAAATCACAATAACGCCTATTCATCCCTTTTTTCCCAGTCTGCTGGTGTTCCTCAAGGTAGTATCCTAGGTCCTATCCTCTATACAGTTTATACAGCTGACATCCCTACCTGTCCCAACACTGTCATCACCACATATGCCGATGACACATGTATCCTATCAGTAAACAATGATCCAGCAATTGCATCCCAAATGCTTCAATCACACATCATAAATCTAGAAGAATGGTGTCAAAACTGGAGAATTAAAATAAACTCCAATAAATCCCACCAAATTACCTTTACCCTTCGTCGTAAACCAACGACTTCCTGTCCTACAGTTTCCTTTAACAATACTCCACTTATCCCTGTTGAGCAAATCCGATACCTAGGACTCCACCTGGACAAACGACTAACTTGGAATCCTCATACTAGACTGAAACGACAAGAAACCGCTCGACGTTTCCGATTACTTCAGCACTTACTAGACAAACGCTCTAAACTTCCCATTAATTACAAAAGACTTATATACTTGACTATAATAAGACCTATTTGGACTTACGGAGTTGAGCTATGGGGCTCCACTAAACCATCGAATTCCTCTCGCATCCAATCCTTACAATCCAAAATCCTTCGTAAAATCCTCAATGCTCCTTACTTTGTCACTAATAAAATTATCCATAAAGATCTTAATGTTCCTTATGTTTCAGATCTGGCCCAATCCAGATACCTATCCTTCCATAATAAACTTCAGAATCATCCCAACCCTCTCGTTTCTAACCTTGCTTCCTCTTCAATTCCTGATAACCCTCCGAGGCGTCTGAAAAGAAGATGGCCCCGTGATCTCCTAATGTAGTCATATCATTAGAGTGCTACCATTGGGTAGTTACTCAGCAAGTGTATTCATGTCATTATATCAATTATGTCCAAATTTACTTGAGTATTTATGTAATACAGTTGTAAATGTCATAAAGAAATAAAAAAAAAAAAAGGAGCTGTAGAATTTGAAAATGACCTCCATTTTATGACTATGCCGCTGTGTTTTGACTTATTTAAGTTTTTCGAATTTATCCAATATTAAGGTCTACTTTTATGTTTCTTGAGCCGTAGATTTTGAAAATGACCTCCATTTTAAGATTACGCCACTGCATTTCCACTTATTTAAGTTTTTAGAATTTAAAAGTATAAAGGTCTAATTTTATGTTTCTGGAGCAGTAGATTTTCCCCATTTTGTAAATGACCCAATTTCAAGTTTATGCCACTGTGTTTTGGATTATAAAAGCTTTTTTTTTACTTTTCGGTATAAGGATCTACTTATATGTTATCGGAGATGTATTGAAATTTTTCTAATCTTTAATATTTAAATTTATCTAATATTTAAGCTCCATTTTATGATTAAGCCGCTGCATCTCGATTAATTAGGCTTCATTTTGGATTTTTTCAATACAAAGTTTCATCAATATGTTTTCGAGTATGAATAAATAAATAAATATTATGAAGCTAAAGTTAAATTAACCACAGAATACAAACTAAAAAGCCGAAAAGCAACTGGTAATAAATTTAACCTAGCGTATTCAGATTTTTCAGCTAATTGTTCGAAATCTTATAATTTTGTGACAGGAGACCACAACATTAAAAAAGATAACTAAAATTAAATTAAAAATGAGACAATACATATTTTATTTATTTTGATTAGATATTTTTATTTATTTATTGAAAAATAAATTAATCCTTCGTATTTTGTTTTTTATTCGAAGGAAAAATCAAAAACACTTAAAAAAACCGAAACACAGTGGCCTAATCTTAAAATGTAAGTCGTTTTAAAAACTAAGGCTACGGCATCATAAAAGTAGACCTTTAAAGTGGATAAATTCGAAAAACTTGAATAAGTCGAAACGCAGTGGCGTAATCTTAAAATGGCGGTCATTTTCAAAATATACTACTCCGGAAACATAAGAATACACCCTCATATGAAAAAAATCCGAAAACTCAAAGAAATCGAAACGCGGTGGCCTAATCTTAAAATGGAGGTCGTTTTCAAAATCTACGGCTCCGGAAACATAAGAATTCATCCTCATATGAAAAAAATCCGAAAAACTCAAATAAGTCGAAACGCGGTGGCCTAATCTTAAAATGGAGGTCGTTTTCAAAATCTACGGCTCCGGAAACATAAAAGTAGACCTTTATATTGGATAAATTCTAAAAACTTAAATAATCAAAACGCAGTGGCGTAATCATAAAATGGAGTTATTTTCAAAATTTACTGATCGGGAAACATAAAATACACCCTTATCGAATATGTCAAAAAACTTAAATGATTCGAAACGCAGTCACGTAATCTTAAAATGGAGGTTATTTTCAAAACTAGGTACAGGACAGCATAATACTAGTCCCTAATAAATCCGAATAGGTACAATAAATCGATATCCGTAAGTGAAAATTCTACTTAGGAGAGCATAATAATAGACTTTCATATTGGAGGGGGGAGGGGATGGCCATTATTTAAAAAAAATATAAAATTTACAAAAAATTAAAACATTAATTTGAAATGAAAACGGTTGAATTTGAATTGGAAAAGGTTTAATTTGAAATGGAAATGGTTGAATTTGACTTGGAAAAAGTTTAATTTGATCTGGAAAAGTTGAATTTGACTTGGAAAAGGTTGAATTTGACTTGGAAATAATTGAATATGACATAGAAATATCACACTGAAAAAATCTAAAATGTTAAAATAAATGGATATGCAACCGCGTTATCAAATTTTTTTTGTATTTTTCAAAAGCTATGCCTTCGATAATATAGTAAGTGGCCTTCATTTCGAAAAAAATCGAAAATTGACAAAAATTCGAAAGTTGAATTTGAAATGGAAAAGGTTGAATTTGACTTGGAAAAGGTTGAATTTGAAATGGAAAAGGTTTAATTTGACTTGGAAAAGGTTGAATTTGATTTGGAAAAGGTTGAAATTAACTTGGAAATGCTATATGTAATTTTTTTTTCCTGTACAACTATAAGTATAGTTGAGAAGATTTTATTTTATTTTTCAGTTGCTTATATAAATCATACTATTATTTAAAATATTGTATAGTTTGTATCTTTATTAAGGTAGTTTTTGGCCAGATTATATTTTTTCTTTTGTAACTGTTCATTATCGTTATTCTAAGTGGACTTCGTTCCAGAATTAAGTTTAATTTCTTTTTCTATTCATTATATTTTTATATGATAATTGCCTAAAATGTGAGTCCAACATTTTTTTTGCAGAATCATCAAAAACAATTTGGTTGAAATCGGTGACCCATTGATAGTGATAGTGATCTTATCTTGAGTGTTAAAGCAAGAACCTTTTGCTGAACTGTAATATTAGATACTCTAATAATTCAAAATCAAAATTCATTTCTCCTGACACAATGTAAAAATTAAATAAATAAACAAAAATTTAAAAAGGAGAAATAAGACAATTTTATCTACTCTAAGTAACTATTATTATATTTAAATTAATATTAACCCTTCCACTGAAAATTTACTTTAAATCAATGCAATAAAAAATATATTCAAGAAAATCGAATTTAATTAACAATAAATACATTTTTCTAACCAAAGGAAAAATAATTATAATTAGATAAGTAACACCATTATTTAACTTACTTTAAGGCATTCTGAACAAGAAATCCTGAAATTATGCCCATTGTTGTTGGCAAGCTTGCAGCACAGACACCTTCTTTTTTGATGGATTTTTCATCGATGCCAGCAGAAACCATCAATGGTGGAGCACACTGCCAGCAAAACAAAACTAATGTAATATTTTTTTATTTAGAATACTTTTTAAATCTAAATTTATGTAACTTACTACTTGAAAATTATATTAAATGAGATGGGATTTGCTCATTGAGCTTTTTTATTCCAATAAAACCAATATAAATTTAGTTAGATGCCCTAATATATGAAAAAAATGAGTAACTATGATATTAAAATAAAATTTGGAGAGAATGTAGCCAGCAAACTTGACTAAAGTAAGCATTCAACTGCAGAAAAAATCACAAATATGACTTCTTACCCAAAGAACAATAACAATTCGGAAACAATGAAGCCAAAATGCTTCTTAAAAACACAAACAAAACTTAGTCCAGGAATCTCCAAACTACTTTAAATTTAAAAAATAAGAAATTTAGTAAATAACTTAAACATGGGCTTTTTACAATATATATGACATGAGTTGTTTTTCTTAGAAAACTCATTTCATAATTGAAGTGTTATTTATAGAACAAGCTTCTTTTTTTTTTCCAACACAAGTGTTATTTATAGAACAAGCTTCTTTTTTTTTCCAACACAAGCCAATCAAATCATGGTCTGCTTGACATGATGAAGGTATTAATGCGGCCCGCGGGACTTATTGGAAGCCTCAAAGTGGCCCACAGACCAAACAGTTTGGAGACCCCTCACTTAATCAAACAAAGACTTAAAGAAATTCAGTATCTCTTCTTTAATATCTCTTCCTCATTTATGAGGCTTCCTTTGGTTTTCCATTCAGTGCATGCTTCTTGAATAATTATAATTAATTTGAATAAGTTTTGTTGGAGTGTGAACAATCTATTTCTGATTCCCTTTTATAATCTTTAAACCTATAGGCCTCTAATTAGTATTCTGCCTCATCACTCAATGGAAAATTACTTTAAATCAATGAATAGTAAATATTCTTCTTAAGAATCAACTGGGAACACTAAACTTTTTTTCATAGTCATCCTGGTGACTCTAAATGTTGTTGGGAAATATAACAACACCAAAATCAAATTTTTGTTAAAACTATACCATTTTGAATTTTCTTAAACATGGAGTAGTAAACCATTGGAGCTTGGCAAGGGACCATGAAAGAAACAGGGAAGAGGCATGATGATTGACACATAGAAGAAAGGAATAATAGCAAGTATAATCCGCAACCCACCTAAATTTAAATATTGTATAAAATCCCAAATTAGTTAGAATAAAGCAATCAATTTTATCTTACAATTTATTTATATTCCACCAACCCCTTTTAGTTTACACTCAACAGCAATGAAATAAGAATTAGCCCTATAGCATAATTCTTCTTCTTCAATAATCTCTTCTAGCTTTTGGTGTAGAGATTATTGTACAAGGATTTCCATATGTCTATGTCAAGGGCTGCTCTCCTGGCTTGCGGCCATCCAATTCCTTTATCTGTAAGAATACTCTTGAGATTATCTTCCCAAGTAATTCTTGGTCTTCCCCTAGGTAGTTATCCCACTGGTTCAGCCTCCATAATTTTCTTTGCTGAACGGCGGTCATCCATCCCCATTACATGAGCGAACCATCTGGTTGAGGGGTTAAATTTTTAGAGTAGTCTGTTTCCTTGTGTTACGGTCTCTCTTGGTCTTTCCCTCTATTTTCCTCAGATACCTCATTTCCATGCTTTGGAAGCAATCATGTTGCTTTAGGACCCAGGATTTGCTTCCATAAGTAAGGAGAAGGACAAACATCGAGATATAGACTGCTAATTTTGTTTCTTTTGCCACTTCTCTCTTACTTAAAAACTTCCGATTGATGGCAGAGAACATTCTTCCTGAAGTGGCAACTCTCGTATTAATTTTGTCTCCGATTTTCCAGCTCTCACTGATTGTCACACCCAAATAATTGAACGTAGGAACCTGCTGTATCATCTCTTCATGAATGTGAATCCCAAAATTCTTGTTTCTGAACACCAACATACACTTGGTCTTGGAAGTGATAATGACCATATTTCTTTTTGCTAACTCTTCTGTCCAGATATTGGCGTAGGGAGGTGGCGGTCCCATCGCCCGGTCATTGTACCGCAACCAGCCACTGGCCCTCCAGGTTGGGGGAACACTTACACGAACACTCACACACCAAGTACACTTTAGACAGCACACTACAACACCTAAACACTACAGACAAAGGTCACCTACAGTACACACCCTAGGGTCACCTTCCCTAGGTAGCCGCCCCGGATGGGGGAGCTAGTCAGGATGCTCGGAGGAGGCAGCCCCTCTACCTGACTCGGGGGCAGTGGGCTGATAACCCACCCCCCCTAAAGTACCTTATTACGAAACCTCAAAGAGAAGAAGCCGGACTGAATTACGGTAACAGACCCAGGAAACGCCTAAATGACCTAAGAATTGGATTTTGGAACATTTTATCATTACATAGACTAGGAGCACTTCGTGCGCTCCTTGCAGAAGTGGACACATACAGAATCGACATAGCAGCTATCCAAGAGGTCCGATGGATAGGACAGGGAATTATGGAGAAGAAGTACCATACACTCTACTATAGCTGCCATGAAAAGCATCACATCTTCGGTACCGGATTTGTTGTGAGAGGCAGAGCTCGACAGTTGGTGATGCGATTTACTCCCATTAACCAAAGGTTATGCTACATTCGGCTTAGAGGAAAATTTTTTAATTTCTCTCTAATCAACTGCCATGCCCCAACAGAGGTGTCACCTGAGGAGGATAAGGAAGCATTTTATGAAGAACTTGGACGCGTGACAGAAAGCTGCCCCAAAAATGATGTTAAAATCATTCTTGGTGACTTTAACGCACAAGTTGGTAAGGAGGTGGCACTCATGCCGACCATAGGAACCCACAGCTTGCATGAGACCAGTAATGATAATGGGCTACGGATGGTGAACTTTGCTACATTGCACGGACTGGTTGTTGGAACAACTCTTTTTCCTCGAAAGAATATCCACAAAGCAACATGGATCTCTCCAAATGGGCAAACAGCATCACAGATAGACCATGTACTCATTAGTGCCCGTCACAAGTCCAACATGATAAATGCAAGATCTTATAGAGGTGCAAATATGGACACGGATCACTATTTGAGCATTGCCGAGGTCAGATCACGAATTTCGCTGATTAAAAACCACTACCAACGACCAAAGAAGAAGATTGATGTGGTTAAACTTAAGGACTCAGACCACCAATATTCGTATCAACAAGCTGTGGAGACGAAACTTAATGAAGAAGTAATTAATGACAGCTCTATGGTCGATGAACAGTGGAAGAGATGCAGCAACGCAATGAAACAGGCAGCAGAAGAAGCTCTTGGCTACGAGACTAAATCTAGAAGGCCCCCATGGTTTGATGCTGAGTGCCTTCAAGCAGTAAAAGTGAAAAATGAAGCCTACAGAAAGAAGGTTCAGCGTCCCACAAGGCTCTCCCAAGAAACATATAGAAGAAAAAGACGCGAAGAGAAGAGATTATTCCGCGGAAAGAGAAGAGCTTGGGAAAATAAGAACATGGAGGACACAGAGGCATTGCGAGGCCAAAATGAAAGTCGCCTGTTCTTTCAGAGAATAAACGAGGGTAGGGCAGCTTTTAGGCCCAGAGTGACGGCATGCAAAGACACAAATGGAACTCTTTTAAGCCACAAAGATGACGTACTAAGGAGATGGGTACAACATTTCAAAGGCGCATTAAACAGAGGAACGGTGCCTGGAGAAGTAGGTGTAATGAAGGAAGACTCCCTGAATTCTATTGAACCCCCGGATGAGGAGGAAATGGAAAACGCCCTGAGGAAATTGAAAAATGGAAAGGCGCCAGGCCCGGACGGAATCCAGTCAGAGCTGTTGAAATGTGGAGGTGAAGAACTCAAGAAAGCTCTGCATGATTTAATGCTGACCATCTGGGAGAAGGAAGCTATGCCTACGGAATGGGCAACAGCCATTATCTGCCCAATACATAAGAAAGGAGATCAAACAGAATGCGCTAACTATCGAGGAATCTCACTCCTTTCGTGTGCTTATAAGCTGCTCTCTAACATTCTTTTTGAGAGGATCCTCCCGTATTCTGAAAAGGAACTGGGGAAATATCAGGCTGGATTTCGAAGAGGACGCTCAACGACTGATCAACTGTTCTCTCTGAGGATGATCCTAGAAAAGACTATGGAGCGTAAGGTAGTCACCCACCATTTATTCCTGGACTTTAAAGCAGCATACGACAGCGTTGATAGAACGCAACTATACTGTGCCTTGGAGGAGCTAAGCATCCCTCAGAAGCTCGTACGCCTAATCAAGATGACCATGGACAGCTCGAGATGCAGAATACGCGTCGGTTCTGACGACTCCGAAGAGTTTAAAGTGAGCAGTGGGGTTAGGCAAGGGGATGCCCTCGCCTGTCTATTGTTCAATTTGGCAGAGGAGAAAGCTGTAAGAGACTCCGGTATTCAGACCAAAGATATAATCTTCAATCGCCTGACACAGCTTCTTGGTTTTGCTGATGATATTGACATAGTAGGTAGGTCTGAACGGGCTCTCAGAGAAGCGTTTATAAGCCTTGAAGCAGCTGCAAGACCACTTGGTCTAGAAGTCAACGAGAGGAAAACTAAGTATATGAGAGTTGGCGGTGAGGTTGATCTGAACTCTCCATTTGAGGTAGGTTCTTTTAAGTTTGAGAGAGTGAAAAGTTTTATATACCTTGGGTCTGAAATCAATAGCAAGAATGACATGGCTCAAGAAATACAAAGAAGGATCACGGCTGCCAATAGATGTGTCTTTGGACTTGGCCGACACTTAAGAAGTAGGTACCTCTCAAAGAAGACCAAGCTGATCATATACAAGACCCTTGTTCGGCCTGTTTTGACATATGGCTCAGAGGCTTGGACGATGACCAAAAGGGATGAGATGAAGCTGAGTGTCTTTGAGCGAGGAGTCCTCAGAAGGATTTATGGTCCAGTAAAGGAGGGTGATGTCTGGAGGAAAAGAAAAAATAGGGAGCTCAGTTCTCTCTATGCAGAC